GACGCGCTACCATGAAAACCAAACAATGGTGTAGCTGTATTAAAGTCCGAGTGGAAACAGTCCTGAGTCAATCTGATTTTGTCAGATATCGGGAGAAATGCGGGAGAAATATGACCCGGGAGGAAACCGGGAGAGGGCTATGACATCGGGAGTCTCCCGCGAAAATCGGGAGGGTTGGCAAGTATGATATGGACATAAACGCGAGTGAAGTCTAATCGGACAGAAGAGGAGACACGCAGCTCTGCATGGTAACCTGCAGCACCGCCCGCTGTGATGGAGCGATGAGCGGAACAAAACACACACTTCAAGAAGTTAGATCATCACCCTTAGCTATTTTAATTACCCCAACCATGCATGCGCGAGAAGTCTTCTTCGCTGCTTTTGGTGTATTTTGTGGAAGAAGTACAGCGCCACTTACAGGCCCAGCATATGTACTACAGCGTCTCCAGCGGTTGGAGCTGTCTCGTGTGAACGGATACGTTTCTGGTGCATATTGCGTGTGGACTTCTTTGATAACGATTTTGGTGCATTTCCGTTATCGTCCTTGTGTGGCTGCAGCCTAAGATGACTCGACTCTTTTAAATCGTTATATCCAGAAAATGAAGTGAGTGATATTCAAACGTTCTGGTTATATAATAAATACAAATGATAATGTCATGTAAGCAATCCATCATTTTTATTTTTCCCTTTGGTTATGGCAACAGACTTTTCTTTATCTTTCTTGTACATCTATTTTTATTAGCAGTAAAGCAGATACAACGCACAATAATCAAATGTAAAGATAGATTCCACTAAAGCGCAATATTGTCATATTTCTTTTTTTTAAATGTCTATAGGTATCATGATATTATTATCACTAATTCATTTGGTCACATTTATTGTATAGTATAACCTCTTTTTATATTCTGATAGCCCTTTTTCAAGCTCATAAAATATGCATCATATAACAAATACAAGCAATTATCTAAGAACTCCTCTCTCTTTCACTTACTACAGATGTTACAGCTTGTCCTCCTTCAACAACTCCATCACTAACAACTCTTCCTTCAACAACTCCATCACTAACAACTCTTCCTTCAACAACTCCATCACGAACAAGTAAGACTTAAAGGACAGTATTTTATAAAACAAAAACCAAATGACAATATTATTTACAAGTGAGACATCAACTGTATTATTTTTTCTTTAAAATTCTCTCCCTGCAGCTCCTCCTATTCTCTTTGAATACATCATTTTGGTTGAGTTGAACACCACAGATACTCTAATAAATCAACTGAGTACCTTTCTGAGAAGCATCCGTTACCCCTTTATCCTCAACAACGCACAAATCCTTGATGTAAACATTTCTACAGGTGCAGATACAATACTGTAAATATGTGAAATATGTGTTGGTGTTGTCAACCCTAAGTGTGAATCTAAAAGTTGCAAAACACACTTTACTAATATGACAGTTAGAAAAACTCATTACATGTGTGAAATTCATTGTGTTTTTGTTTGGTCTCAAGTTTGCTCTCCGAGCAGTTCTGGTTACCAGTGCAGATGTGAGGATCAGTATCGTTGGTCATGTGACCAGTGTTTACAGTATACATCCTGTGACAACATCACTGGGGACACATGTGGATGCATCAATGCCATTCCTCCTGATGGACAATACTGCCAGCCTTCTGGTCAAAACAGTAAGTTGGTCCTCAGTAATCGCTGCATTCTGGCCAGCATTTGATGTGCCTTATTGTCAAAATCTTTATCCTTAATTGCATGACAATCCCTGTGTCTTACTATGTAATTGCTTGCTTTTGGGTTGTCGAAAGACAGGAGCTGGCCTGAGTCAGAAGGACAACTTTGGAAACACTGCCATATGTTGTAGAGAATCTATAATTGTATTTTATTGTTTTTAACTCAAATGTACGTAAAAAGGATTAGGGCCACTTATGATGACCAAAAGGTATTTTTGTTTGTGCCGGTAGTCCCAATTATGATATTCAACTTTTTTTCTCAAACTTAAACGGAAATCACCTTTGGGTCACATTAATCGTACAGTATGGGGAATAAAAAAATTCTGATTCTTAAAATATGCATCTTATCAAATGCAGAAGCAATTAACTAAGAACTCCTCTTTCTTTTACTTCTTACAGACTTTACCCGTTGTCCTCCTACAACAACTCCATCACCAACAACTCCTCGTATCATAACTCCAACACCAACAAGTAAGACTTAAAAGACAGTATTTCATTTATTCATTTTGAGCAGTTTGGATAATGTATCTTTAAGTTACAACATCTTCTTGTTTAATAGCGATTGTCTCAAAATGGCGCTATGGTAATGGCATTCCTTGTTATAGTAATAGTATGTAATCCCCAATTAAATAGGAATTCTCTGCTGAGTGCAATGATGCTTTCCACAACAGTCTATGGCAAACGGTTCATGATATGTTAGGGGGCGTGGCAAAAGTGTGGGGCGGGGCACATCGTTACTAATGCCACAGGAACTCACTGTCTACGACAATGGGTTCATGGTTCATCTGTTATGAAAGGGGTTGGGGGAAAACAACGATAGGTATCTGACTTCACCATGTTGGCAGATATTTTCTTAGTTGTCTTGTCAGATTCATTCTTCAGCTTAACAAAAATGAATGTAAAATTGTGTTTTTAGTCTCAACAACAGTCACTAGGACCGGGGTGAACACTCCAACACCCACATTGTCAGCAAAAATAAGTCAGTGCAAAATAATAATTGTTAGATTACTTTTCCGTGTTGTTGGTTATCGTCTAAATTGACTTGTCAAAGGAATTCTTCATCTTAACAAACAATGGGTATGATATTGTTCTTTCAGACTGAACAACCGTTGCTTCAATTGCTATAAACTCCACACAAGCTTATTTAAATTCAGCTGAGTTGAGTGTGTCCATGATGAGGATTGTTGAGATGATTAAGAATGTATATGCTCGAGATGAACAGTGACTGAGGACCTGTAGGGTTTGATCAGAATAACTCAAACAGTGTTCTAAGGAAATGCTTGAATTGCTGTTGACTTTTTCTCAATGCATTAGGCCATTATTCCTGTTTCGGTAAGAACAAATGGGTTTTGAGGTCATATAAACAATGGGGGACATGTAGCGTGAGCATAGAGAGCAGATGCAAAGGCTGAAAAGGTCAGAAGTGAGTGGTAGTTGTGTAACGTTAAGAGCAGGTGCCTGTTTTTGTAAGCTTTTGGTCAACAGCGAAACATGGGAATGGGAAGTAAAAAGACAGTGTTGGCCAGTGACTAGTTTAATGGTAGGACTGGTATGGGATGGAGATCCGATTTGGGGACTTGTCTGATATTCTGGAAAGAAAACCAATACAATGAATCAGCAATGATGTGGTGGTAACCAGAAATGTGGGATGCCCAAATAATGAACTGGTGTTGAGCTGAGATTCAAGTAAGTCTGCGCGGGAGCTGCATGATGTCTAAAGAACAAGATATATATACTTTAAGGATCTACATGAAGGATCAATGTGTGTTTTCTGTGTGGACGAGTATGGATTTCCTAGACCACCAAAGAACAACAGTTATAAGAATGGCTTCTAGCACATGGAGCAAATATAAAGGCAAGCGGGCCTGTGAGGCGAGATCAATATCCTCAGGTTTGGTGATAAAGAGCTCGTAGAAGAAGGAGATGCAATTCCAAGACAACAAATCTTGCCAAAGACACTTTTCCATCTTGCATGCATCTTCCAGAACAACTCTATTGTAGACTTAGGGAGGGCTGCAGCTTTATGAAGGTCGGACAGGAAGGATTTTGCTTGAGGAATGGCACAAATGGCATAATTGATGTAACCAAGTTTGTGCACAGATGGAAGGCTGACAGGCAGGTAGGTCATCCAGTTACTTTAGCCGGGCAGGCTCAGATGATTGGTCGTGCTTTTTACAGCGCTACGGCTTCAACAGATGACGTTTTTTTTATGGATTTGTTGTCAAAGCACTTAAGATATTCATTGCTATCGGGATGTTAAGAGCATTCCATGGAATATAACAACAAGTATATCTCGAGCCGGTTTTACCCCACCTTTAAGCATACGAAATTGAAGAAATTAAAATATTTTTACAATACTCATAACTCAACCAACTACTGCTGCTGCTACCAAGGCTACACCGGCAGTAACAACTACGACTGCTCCTGGGAAAGGTCTTTTTTAGGAATTGCAAATGGCATAATTGATGTAACCAAGGAGGGCTACACGCTTGCATTTGCTGCACCTGTCAGCCAGCAGATAGTTTGACAGAATCAAAGTCTGAGGTAAGGATAGCAAAATGACAAAAATACTGTGATAATGCTTGAGGGCATGATTCAAGTCTGTCGTCGAGTAGTTCAAGATGGTGCTCAGATGTGTTGGTCGGGTTCACAGGTGATCATTGCTGTTTTTAAGGCTCGTCCCTGCTCTTGAACCTAAATGTACGAATGATCTACTTGACTTGTTAAGGTGTGTATTCTTCAGCTTAACCAACAAAATTATGACATGGTCTTTTCCAACAGTTGTGACCAATACAACAACCACAATGTCTCCAACAACCACAATGTCTCCAACAACCACAATGTCTCCAACAACCACAATGTCTCCAACAACCACAATGTCTCCAACAACCACAATGTCTCCAACAACCACAACGTCTCCAACAACCACAACGTCTCCAACAACCACAACGTCTCCAACAACCACAACGTCTCCAACAACCACAATGTCTCCAACAACCACAATGTCTCCAACAACCACAATGTCTCCAACAACCACAATGTCTCCAACAACCACAATGTCTCCAACAACCACAACGTCTCCAACAACCACAATGTCTCCAACAACCACAATGTCTCCAACAACCACAATGTCTCCAACAACCACAATGTCTCCAACAACCACAATGTCTCCAACAACCACAATGTCTCCAACAACCACAATGTCTCCAACAACCACAACGTCTCCAACAACCACAATGTCTCCAACAACCACAACGTCTCCAACAACCACAATGTCTCCAACAACCACAATGTCTCCAACAACCACAATGTCTCCAACAACCACAATGTCTCCAACAACCACAACGTCTCCAACAACCACAATGTCTCCAACAACAGGTAAGATAAATATACCAATTGTTACATTACATAAGATACATAATCAGGATTTATTATTATCATTATTAAGCTGTTATTTAAACAATTCAGTTAGTCTTTAAGTTTCAGAGATGTTAAATGCTTGTCCAGTATTTATGTATTCAAAATGTTGTATTGGCAAAAACCTTCTGGAAAGATATTGATTGAACCCATTAAGTCATCTCTCCTAATGGGAGAGCTGAACATACAAGTTGTATTTATCTTTTTTCAGATCCAAAAAAAGTGTTAAAATGTTTAACAAGTTTAATCAGAATATTTGGAATCCTGGTTAGAGAATCAGAATAAAATAAAATTGAATTAATTAATTGACCCAACATCTATTGACAAAACACATCTTAACACTGCAACACCTAACCTAATCCAGGAATATTTCCAATGAACTTCTTGCTTATAACAATGTAGTCACGCCATGGTATACTGTATTTGAGATACACATACTTTCGGTGCAGTTTAAATGTCTTAAAGCAAGTGATGAGGGCTATAATAACTTGACTCATACTGTCAACAGTAACACACTTTTATAAAATAATCTTTCAACCACCATCATTACCTGTATTTAGCAATAAGCGTTTCGATAACTCGTCCCTTGTTGTTAATTGTAGAACATTTTCTGTAATTCACTTTCACGTAAGGTATTTCCCTCTACAGATGATCATACTTTATTACAGTTAAAGGTGGGGTAGGTCATTTTGGAGAAAGCAGCTCGAGTGCGCTAGAATTTGAAAATACACGGCCGGAAAAAATCAGCCACTTCCTTCAGACTTCCTTACGGAGCCCCTCCTCCAACACACATAACGCACATCACCAATGAGGGCACGAGATAAGTTTGTGCACAGATGGAAGGCTGACAGGCAGGTAGGTCATCCAGTTACTTTAGCCGGCTCAGATGATTGGTCGTGCTTTTTACAGCGCCACGGCTTCCACAGATGACTTTTCTTTATGGATTTTTTGTCAAAGTACTTCAGATATTCATTGCTATCGGGATGTTAAGAGCATTCCATGGAATATAACAACAAGTGTATCTCGAGCCGGTTTCTCAAACTTACCCCACCTTTAAGCATACGAAATTGAAGAAATAAAATATTTTTACAATACTCATAACTCAACCAACTACTGCTGCTGCTACCGAGGCTACACCTGCAGTAACAACGACGACTGCTCCTGGGAAAGGTCTTTTTTATTGACAAAAATGTAGTTATCAGGATCTATGTAGCTCTTTGCTTTATAACATCTCCATTACCTTTTTTTGGTAAATACATATAGATGTGTATCTTTTCCCCTTGGTCACCAAGACTTGAAAGAAACTATTTTCTGATGTCAAGAGTCTTGTAAACTACTTTTCACTGTGGGTTTTGAATATATTTCTGAATGATAACATTCATGTGACATCCCTGCAGCCTACATATGCTGATAGCTAAGCTTGTATTAACCGATGATATTACTTTATTATGCAGCACAGGGTTAATTTAAAACACAGGCGAGCCACACGTGAAAAAAGGGCTTTGACCTCAGGGTGTAAATGGACGTATATGTCATTCATTCAAAAATGAATTGATGAATTATAAATTGCAGTTCTGCTTGAATATAGCTCAGGCTATTTCATTGCTACCTTCCACATGACATCTCAACACTGTTGCTGAAAAGGATATTTGCATTATATAGAGACATGGGTTTTATACCCTTGATCTGCAAGTCATGCAAACCAAATAAAAAAATGATTCACAATTGTGTCCTCTCTTCTCGTGGCTCGCTAGTATATTCTTTAAATCACAACAAACTGAATTGTTTGATCTTGTTTTTATTCTCTTTTCAAATAAACAGGGTTCAATTTGGAAATGACAGTGCAATTAAACAAGACGTTCACAGAAACATTGAAAGATCCAACAAGTGATGAATACAAAAATCTTAAAAACAACATGACTACATTGGTAAGTGCATTGATAAATACCATATCAAATTGTAACTTGTATTTTCAGTTGAATTGGTAATGTTATGAACCGTATCTCTCCCACAGTTAAACAAGGAGTATGGAGGAATCACAGGGTTTATTGGTGTTTCTGTGACAGGATTCAGGTATGGTAACTCTGGCATTTAAGACATATGGAAGCAGGAAATCCGTACACATTTGACACCACCATTTTGTTTTGTGTTTGTTCTTACAGAGAAGGAAGCATATTTACAGAGTTTGTTGTTGAGACTACAAAGGTTAATGCTGAAGAATTCGCTGAAGCAAATACAGCATTTTCAAAAGCAGTAACCTCTACTATTGCCCCTGTCATTGGCTCTGTCACTGCATTGTACAACAGTAAGTCCAACATAGCTAGAAGGTAATTACATTTTGTTTAACTTGTATAAACACCAAACTGATGTGTTCTACTTTCTCCAAAGGTGAAGATAAATTAAGGATTGACGGCATAATTTATAATGGAAATCGCATGAGACTGGTGTGCGAACCCAGTATTAATGTGGGACAAATAAGTAGTGTCGAGTGGACATTTCGTGGAAGGGTAATTAAGGAGCCTGGAAGGATACAAATAACAAATTCTAACACAATGTCTGTTCTAACAATAGAGAAAGCCGATGTTGTGGATACTGGTAAGCAAAAGCTAGTAAAAATAAGTAAAATATTCTTTTTTAAATTGATGCTAATAGACAAATTAATTTGCTGCTTGGACTGGAATGTTCACTATTTAATATACTAATGGTATCATTCTTTTAACTTTTTCTTTTACAGCATACCAATGTAATCATTGTTTTTATTATCTTAATCACAGGAATGTACCAATGCACTCTGATGGGCGACGTATTGCAGTTCAGACAAGAAAGGAACGTGATTGGAGATGATATCAAACCACCTCCCATCATAGTATCAAAGTCTCACATACCCGTTAGATGTCTGGGGACGGAGGGACAAACAGTACCACTTGAGTGTTGTGTGCAGTCCCCTTTTAAGGTGAAGTGGTTTTAAAGACTCACTTACTCCTCTTGGTAAGTTTAAAATGTTTCAGAAAACTTCTCAATCTGACCATACTGAAAACACACATCCAATAACAGTTTATTTTATTAACAACACTGTTAAATGTTCGCAGATGCTGGAGTTACCAAAAATGGAACCTCATTCTGTCTCACATATGAATACCCGCTCGTAGCCTGCAGTGGACCAACGTCACCAACATTTACTTGTAAGGTCGATGATCTCGATTATAGACGGGTAACAACATTGAGCATTTCCGAAGAATGTAAGTGCAATGTTTCAAAAGTGACTATGCTTTTCTTCCCCAATATGTTGTGTAATACTAATTGATTATTATTTATCTCCTAAGCTTTTACATGTAAAGACGATGTGTATGGGAATGGAAGAGAAGGCGAACTATCTAGTACAGAATGTCCTCCAGGTCAAGTGGGGGAAAAGATGGCGAAGTGTGATAATGGAAAGTGGATAGTGTTAGAGGACACTTGCGTTATCAAAGTAATCAAGGAGTTGCTTGATTCTTCAGAGGTAAGTGATCAGCTGGGGATAACAATTCATCCCCATTTTAAATCTATAAAACACACAGTATACCATAAAGTTATTCCAAAAACGGTCCTATGTTTACTAGTTCTACGTAACCAGACAGTCCATGTTGTGCAACAATTGTATCCAGGAACTATTTTCTTTCTAACAAACTACACCTGTCAACTCTGAGACACCATCTGTTCAACTAAAGCATGAAGAAAATCTAAACGTCAGGTTTCTTATAAATCAACTCAACAGCAGAAATCATTACCAGTTGCTCAAGATAATCCACTGACCTTGTGAGAAGTTTCATTTAGTATGTATTGTATTTCATCTGAAGTACATTCGCGTGAGAAAGTGAGAAAAAATGTACCAAGCTAATTTGTTATAATATTTTGTATTGTTGTAAAAAACCCACGTTTTCGACCAACATCAGCACATTCCATCACGGCTTCTGCTGTCCAGTAACTTATTGTAACTAACTGACCACTGTTTTTATATAAAGTGTGGCTCTGCAGCAACACTTCTTTAATCTTTAAAGGAGCCCTATTATGCTTTTTGAGGATTTCCCTTTCTTTTAATGTGTTATCTAGTTTTGGTGCATGTAAATGGTCTGCAAAGGCTAAATCCTAAAGTTATCTTCAGTTCTCTCCAATATACTCCAAGTATATTCTACTCAAATAAAAGTACAAGTACAAAGTAGCAACAAATGTAAAGAATAGTATCTCAAAATGGTAATTAAGTACAGTAATTCGTACTTGAGTATGTACTTAGTAACTTTACACCACTGCATATCAGCTGTAACTGTTTAAAAGTAATACGCCTCCTCTCTAGTAAATCATCAATTTCAGGATTCACATAAATATCAATACTTTTTCAACAAAGATGGACAAACTTGTCAAAACTGTGGTGGCTCAGATTAAGTAGACTAAAGTTTCAACGATTCAAAGGCTTTAATGTTTTGTGCAAAGTAGCTACAGTGTAGTTTTGGCAATGAACATCTTGAGTCCCAGGCTCCTCCAACTATGCATAATAAATATATGAGACAAAAACCGATAAAATATTAAAAAACAATATTTTTGTTATTACAATGTTTCAAAACAAACAACAGTAAAGTTAATATGGGATAGGTCTCCAAATGGTAGTACCGAGTTTCAAAGCACACGGCCATCCCTCACAATCACATTCTTTTAGCCTCTTCTGTACTTTTGTGGCTTAAAATGTGTAGCAGTTGCCAGAAAAGAAACATCTCCTTATTTGTCATGGTTTACAATCTCTCATTATATAAATGTATGTGTTTTTATTATTTACTTTAGGTGTTGCAGGTGGAGGATGTCCCAGATTTTGTGGAGAAGCTAAATGAAGAGATCAAAGTGATTAAGAATGATGTAGCAAAGTCACCTAATACCATATCAACTATCGTGGAAATCCTGGGCAACATTGCACTTATTGATACTCTGGTAGTCAATCAACCTGTCATAGAGGTAGGTTAATCCGTCCCATCAGCATTATCTTAGTTTAGATATGTCTTTTATGTCAACAAATGTGAACTGCTCTATTGAAACCAGTCGGATGTCGCAACAGCGCATTGCAATTGGGGTTTTGGTTGATTCTAAAAAAACAATGTCTTGGCTTCCAGAATATCAATCTTTTCTAACACATTTATACAATAAATACATTACCCCCCTCAGAAAACACACACACACAAACACACCAACTTTCGTTCGCACTTTTGTCCTGAACTTGAGCCCCCTCTTTTAAATAGCTATAGCTAAAATATTGTCAGCAAACTTTGAAGGCCTTTTAAAAAAATCTTGATATTTCGCTGAATATTTGCAAAATTAAAACAATAAGTATATATCCGGAAAGCTAAGAATCTCCTCTTTCCAGTTATGTACATAACTCAAAATGTGTATCGGAGTCGATGTGACTGATTTTTATAGAGCAGTTCACGTATATTTTTTTGATGCAGATGTAATCTCACAATGAAATCTGTCTTCATCTGCAGGGTGTCCTTCAAACAGTTGATGTCATTATTGGTGAGGATTCAAGAGAGTCCTGGACAGCTCTGAATGCAAACGAAAGCAACAACGCAAGCTCTGATTTACTGGGTTCGATGGAACTCCTCTCTGATAAAATAGTTGGGACATTTACCTTTGAGACTGGTGCAATCCTCCTCAACAGAAGCACTTTTGACAACTCGTTCTATGCAAATCTGAACAGCAGCGTTGTCCTGGACATTCCTAACACCGGCTTTAGCAATGCCTCTATCACCACTATTACTTTCTCGACCCTAAATATTGTTATGCCAGTACGGAGCTCCAGCTTTAACACCAGCCTCTTCAACACCAATAACACTGACCCCGTTAATGCCCTCAACGCAGCTGTGGTGCTGATAAAAGTAAATGAAACTATTCGGAACGTTACTTTAAGCTACACCAAGTTAAACACGATTCTGACGCAAGATCCTCAGTGTGTCTTCTGGAACTTTAGACTGTTTGACAACAGGGGTGGTTGGGATAGTGACGGGTGTCAGTTTGTTTCCGATATAAATGACACAGTAACCTGCAGATGCGACCATCTCACCTCATTTTCAATTCTGATGTCAACTGGTATCCCTAAAGAATTCAAAGAACTCTTGGATATAATCACCTACGTTGGAGTTGGGATCTCTTTGGCAAGTTTAGTTATATGTTTAATTATTGAAGGATACGTTTGGAAAGCCATAACTAAAAATAGCACTGCCTTCATGCGTCATGTTTCCCTCATTAACACTGCCCTCTCTCTGTTGATCGCTGACATCTGCTTTATCATTGGAGCCTCCATTGCCGACAACCCAGCTGAAAACCCGGGGAAGAATAACTATAATGTTCCAGTTGACCCTTGCAGCACAGCAACATTTTTTATGCACTTGTTTTACCTTGCGGTGTTCTTTTGGATGCTAGTTTCAGGCCTTCTGCTACTTTACCGGACAGTCATGGTCTTCTCCCACATGTCCAAGGCAGTCATGTTGGCTATTGGCTTCTTATTAGGCTACGGGTGCCCTCTGATCATAGCTGTTGTTACTGTTGCCGCCACAGCACCAGGAGAAGGATACATCACGAACAAAGAGGCTTGTTGGCTTAACTGGGAGCAAACAAGGGCCCTGTTGGCGTTTGTGATACCTGCCTTAACTATAGTTTGTATCAACATCATTATCGTAATCGTGGTCCTGTTCAAAATGCTAAGAAGAGGCGTGGGAGACGCCGCCCAAAGAGATGAAAGGCATACGCTGGTTGTCATTCTAAGGTGTGTGGCCATTTTGACTCCTTTATTTGGACTGACCTGGTCTTTAGGAGTGGGGACCATGCTAGATTCGACAAATAGAGGACTCCACATTGTCTTTGCACTCTTCAATTCACTACAGGTATTTGCAACCATTAAAAATAACCAAATAACAACTTGTTCTTACATAGCAGTATTTTTATATAATATCTACTTCGTCAATTTCTTTGAAGTTAAAGAAAAATGCGTGTTATTTCATTTTCCTCAGGGTTTCTTCATTTTAGTGTTTGGGACACTACTCGATTCAAAGGTATGTTGTCTTTAAACTAATAATTGTGGATAGACGATTGATTCCTCTTTTGATAGTAGTAGTAGAAGTATTCAAATCCTTTAACCTGCCAGAAGGTTCAAATACCAGATTATAACTTAATATCATGCAATGAAAAATGACTAAAGTCAAATCAGTTTTAGCATTATTGTTATCATATTTTATATTCCATAATGAGATTATCATGAAGCATTGAAACAAAATGATAGAGATTTCTGTACCTTTGTGATTTAGTGCCCCCAGATAAAGATTTTAATTGACATTTACACCATAACGTTGAGTGTGCATTTGTTATGTTAGCAAGATAAAACTAGCAGGTTGACAACTTTGTTAACAAAAAAACAAAAAAGCGTACAGGTAATGCCGTCTCAAGGGCTATGAACGAAGGATGGCACAGGTTTAGCATGCATCAGCTTCACTGGAGCACACACGCCATTTTAGAATCACTAAAACTATCTTCCTGTCATGTAAGAGCTAGAATTCAAAGCTTAAAAACTCACCAAATGGTTGGTGAAGCCATAACAGAGGGTCTCTATCTTCCTTGACAATGATGACATGCTGTATTCCAGCCAATCGTGACTTGCAAAAAGTATTCTGATGAAATGACGACGTAGATGTTGCCAATGTGAAACATCCATTCATGCTACCCAGAGAACCTCAGAGAACTCAATGTTATTACAGTTGTTGTTCGGCATAGGTGGAGCTTGTTTTTACTGCTTCAAGCTTTGTTTTGCAATCTATTGCTTTTAAGGTAAACTGGTAATTGTTACATGTGTATAGAGGATTTAAGGGCATATTTGTTGAATACTTCTCTCTGTCATGGATTGGTTGGAAAGTGTTCAGATAACAAGGTATTACTGGAGACAATGTAGAGTGTTAATGCTCATTATAAAGCAAGTAAGCTTATTTTCTCTAAAATGTTAAACTATTGTTGTTTAAAAATGTTGATCTTCTTGAATGTTTTCCAAATCGCACATAAGTTGATTGAGATGAATTTGATTTTCCTGTAGATCCGTTCTATCCTCGCAAGAAAATCACCTACAACAAGCACAGGCTCCAATACAACCAGAGTAAGTCATTTTAAAGTGTATGCAGTTTTTCTTGTTCATATTTCAAGATTCAAGATATTTATTGTCAACAGACAGTTACACCGTACAATGAAAATATCACTTTGGTAGTCCACCCTACGCAAGTAAAGTACAGGAATATACAAATAAATAAATACTTAGAAAAAAACAAATAAGTTTGGCACACGGCAACAGCACATATTGTATCTCACGGTTGCGTGCGAAAACTTTAACATTAATGATACGCCACGGAGGGCGCCATCAATCGTACAATAATAATAATAATGTTTCTACCCATTAAATAACAAAGATATCCTGCAATCACCTATTTATACCATATAACATTTGTTTTCTACTTTAGAGTACAAGTGGGGGCATTTCCTCCACTGGACTCAACTGGTTCCATCGACTGCGTGGAAGAAGAAGCAAGTTTTTATTTTAAATTGAGCAGTTCTTTTCATTTACTGAGATATATTTTCCCATATAACAATTTGTTATTTGTCTTTCAGACGTCTACCGTACATCAGAGGCTGCAAACTCGGGGAGTGCTGGTGCATCGGAGTCATTCTCCAATATCTAATTCAATGCATGGAACCGTACACTTTATTTCTTTAGGGCTGTTTATTCAAAAGATCTGACAATTATAGGATTTTCAGCACATAATCAGAAACGTTGCAGTTTACTGGGATGATATTGTAAGAGATGGTGCAACAGACATGGTGAGTTTTTAAATCAGAATAGTTTAGGTCCTACAGGCAGCATTAAAAGAAGTGTCTATTGTAAAGGTACTGTTCCGTTATTCAAAGCCCTAGGAAAGCAAGAGTGACACAACATTGTGAATGAAACTTTGAAATTACATTTTATTTTGAAGTGTGAAATGTAGTGGTGCTCTGAATCAATGACGTGCAATGATCAATTATTATCTTAATGTACAGTCGTAGTGAATCATACCTACTAGCTTCTAGGTGTTTCATGATAACATTGATAATACCATGACTATGTTCCTGAGAAAAAGAGCATAATACTTCCTTCATTAAAAGCAAAATCTAAAACCTAAAAAATGTGTAAAAAGATAAATAGATTTTTAGTAACAGTGTAGCTCAATAATGCATGTTAGCTAAACAGCAGCAGTTGTAAGAACAGCAATGAAATGAAACTTATGTAATGTTCATTGGCCCGCCCCCCCCCCCAAAGAAAATGCTCGCCATGAAGAACTTTGCTTTTAAAATATGTGTAAAGTTCATAGACGTGTATATACAGTTGTTTTATTTTTTCATTAAAGGTTTAAAGTGTTTTCTCTTATTATAACACAAAGTATTGCCTTCCAACCGTGTTCTTTTGCTGTAAATGATCGATCTTTCCCAATAAACATACAAATTAGAGCACTGTACATAACACGTTTTGAAGATAGATTGGTTCTTTGACAGTCTATATTGTATTATAATGTTTAAGGTGACCTATTATGCAAAATGCAATTTTTGATGTACTTTATAAATATGTGTCCCCGGTGTGTAAGGAGACTTACAACGTGTCAGAAAATAAAACCCTCTCTCTTTTCCTCCGCACCCACATCTCTAAATACGGGTGCACCATGGAGCTGATCCAGATTTGCTGAGAACTTGACGTCATTACTAAATTATGGGCTGGCTTTACATTGAAGTCCTGGCAACGTTCCCTATCAGAAACGTCTCTGTATCAGAAACAATGTGCGACGTGTTTTGGAAAGTATTATGGTCTGTGTTTACATTAGTAAGGTTTATATTTGAAGCTACAGACCCAGACTCAGCACTTTAGTAACAGGACTGACATAGAGGGGTATGAGGCATGAGTGATCTGTTTGGTATTTTGAGCAAAACACTTCATAGACACGTTTTGTATCGATATGGCCCAATAATATATTGTTCAAATATAGCCTAATAGGTGAGCTTAAAGTTGTTTCCCCAGTCTTTTAGATTTTAGTGCCTTTAAATTAGGGTATTGGGTAAGGTTTTCAGTGTAGGTACAAACTGAGTACAAACTGGGGACAAACACTGCCGTTGTGCTGCTTCTTTAATGTGCAAAAAGGAACTCACCTTGTGAAAAACTCGCAAGAGAAAAAGCATTTAAGCTCCATACTGTTTCAGAAATAATCCTTGATGTGGTTTGGAACATGATGGCTTTAATCACAGCAGAATGTAACCCTTGTGTGGTGTTCATATTTATGTTACTCAGCCAGTGTTCTTGGTTCTGGTGGACCTGCTGCCTTTTGGGGCTTCAATTCAACACAATCAAACTATGTGATGTTAAAATACTCAACAAATGTTTACTTCGTCCCAATTACAAGCAATATAAACAGCATATATGGTTAATATTTGCCTTTTTACATTTGTTAGATCACATTAATGAATTAAAGTACTACGTGTTTTTTTGCCCGCTGACCGGCTGGTCCTGTGGCTCACTTTTTTTTTTAACTAGCTGATGCTCAATCTCATCCTCTTCTTCAAAGTCACTGTCAGACTCAGAATTCTCAAAAATGTTATCCTCACATTCTGAAACCTCTTCCTCTTCATCATCATCAAATGGTTCTCTCTCTCTTCCAAAATAATCTGCAAGGCCCTCTGAGCAGATAATCTGTTGGCCATCTTGATCAGTTGTGATAAGGACCCAAACTGGCGAAGCTTTTTTTATTGTCTTGCCCCAAATTTGCAGCTTGGATAGAATGGGAAAAAAATAAAGATTGGTTCCCACAAAACATAATGTGGGAATGTGAGAGCAGACAGGTGTCGGTGCTTGAATTGAACAACAATGTTGCAACCTTGTGCGGGAATGGCAGGGGCAGGAACACAAAAGTCATTCATTTATTTTGGTTTATAAATGAATGTCAAGACATTTATGTTATTGATTTCTGAAGCACTTTCTAAATAATAAAAAGAGAGTTCATATGTATTTACTGCATGTATGCATTGATGAAAAATAAGCCATGTGCATTAATATAGAAAATTGAGGATGCAACGAATTGGTATGAATCGTGATATATCGGGATGAATCGTGATGCATCGGGATATCGAATTGAATCGAAACGTTGACAGGATAATCGTAATCGAATCGAATCGTGAGACCAGTGAAGATGCACAGCCCTAGTGTACATTGGTGGTCATTGAAAATGTCTTCTGATATGTGTTTTTTGAGCAGTCGGAAAATGTTTGTCAAACCTGTATTTCAATTTCACGAAACAGGTCAAAAGGTGTATTTTTGGACAGTTTCCTGTACATTTCGTGAGTCAAATCTGGACGAAATGGACAGATTTCTGTCCATATCACTGTTTCACCCTGCTGTTTAAGCAGTCAAATGCACATTTGAATTAAAACAGTTTAATGCACTTTTAACACTCATATACCCACGATTCGAGCTCCTTTCCTGGGTTATAAAGTGAGATGAAGCAGCCTGTTCTCTGGGTGCGCTCTGTGGGTCTCACAATCTGCTTCTCCGGGGTGCTGGAGAGTAATTTTCAGGCTCCTCTCCACAGTCGTCCCCCTAAAAATGATTTTTAATCATTATTTTTGCATTTAAATGATTTATTTTATCATTAATATGGTTCCCTATAACAATGCACATAGTCTGGAGCTCACTGGGGTCCTGCATATGCTTTAATCAGGCGTTTTAAGACTTTATTCCATGAAAATGATTTATATTCACTATCATGGGGCTATATAAATCAAATTCCGGGTAATCCAGAGCACAATTGTAACTTTTACTATTTAAATGTATTTGTATATTATATTTTTGGGCTATAAAATTGACATTTCTGGGTGACTTTGTCAGTTTATGGAGCTTAGCCCACAAATCCTGGAGGTTCCAGGCCGAATTTGGGAGCTCATAGGCGGCCCGCCATGCGCCCCCACCAGTGGAAAGAAGAAAAAAGTAAAGAAAATGGTAAATTATATCTTAAAATAATCAAAAATGAAGTTTTAAAAAATTGTTGAAAAAACTTCAAAGTGTCAACAAAGCTCAACCCTTCGGCGCTTCGGGCCGAAGCCCCGGACACTTTTCCACTCCCCCGTTGCAACTTACAACGGAGAGGGGAAACCAAGCCTCCCCATCTCCGTCAAAAAAATGCATTCATCAATTTCAGACTACTCTGCACGAGATCAGAAACCCGGTTTTTGAGAGGACTCAGGCTGTTTCACTTCATGGAGGAATGTATCCGCTCCATGTGCACTCTGGCTCGGATGAATTTGTTGCCCAGAGACCCCCCAGCATGGTTCTTCCCAAACTTTAAGTTTTTGAACTGGTCTCTGGAGGAATGTAAGGGGAGTTTGAGGGGACTCTACCCACATTATGAGGCACTATTTTCGGATACATTTTATCACTTTTAGCCCTTTTTTATGGTTCTCCAAAAAGTTAACTCAGACTTTTTCTGACTCTGGAGGAATGCAAGGGGAGTTGACAGGGGACTCTAACCGCGTTATAAGGCACTATTTTCGGATACTTTTTTACATTTTCACCCCTTTTTTATGGTTCTCCAAAAAGTTAAGTCAGACTTTTTTCTGACTCTGGAGGAATGCAAGGGGAGTTGACAGGGGACTCTTGCGGGCTCATGATGCACTATTTTCGGATACTTTTTAAAATGTTCAGCCCTTTTCCATGGATGAATTGAAACGCATTGCCTGGAGGATAGGACCGAGAGATGACAGACTCTCTGGCTGCCTCACAAGTCACTATTGTTGGACACTTTCTTTGCTTTACCCCGGTTCTATCACTCTTTCCTCCTTTGACCATAACACGTGTTTCCTGCTGGGGTACTGCCTGGTTCCGGGGCACCCCAAACCCTCTCATGGTCGGGGCACCATGAATTGATGCATCGGACCCAATGTTGCCATCACCAGCCCAATATAGAGGCAATGGACGTCCACTCTCGGGAGAGGTCCGACAGTGGTGCGGTTACCCAAAGTGACAGACCTAATTTTACCCCTATATAGAGGCAATGGACGTCCACTCTCGGGAGACGTCCGACAGTGGTGCGGTTACCCAAAGTGACAGACCTAATTTTACCCAGGAAAAGGGTTTGAAACGTTGCGAAAAGTGGTGTAAATAGAGGCAGAGTGAACCTGTGAACCCAGAGAGCAGGCTGTGCAGAAAATGTAAAGAAGTATCGGAAAATAGTGCCTCATAAGGCGGGTAGAGTCCCCTGACTACTCTCCTCACATTCCTCCAGAGTCGGAAAAAGTCTGAGTTCATTTTTAGGAGAACCATAAAAAAGGGCTAAAAGTGATGAAATGTATCCGAAAATAGTGTCTCATGAGGCGGATAGAGTCCCCTGACAACTCCCCTTGCATTCCTCCAGAGACCAGTTAAAAAACTTAAAGTTTGGTAAGAACCATGCTGGGGGGTCTCCATGCAACAATTGTATCCGAGCCAGAGCACACATGGAGCGGATGCATTCCTCCATGAAGTGAGACAGCCGTTTTTTTTCTAAGTGCTCTCAAAAACCGGCTTTCCGAAATCGTGCAGATGGTAGCTTGAAAATGATGAATGCATTTTTTTTGACGGAGGAGGGGAGGCCTCGATTCCCCTCTCCGTTGTAAAATGCAACGGGGGAGTGGAAAAGTGTCTGGGGCTTTGGCCCGAAGCGCCGAAGGGTTGAGCTTTGTTGAGCCCCTCCTCCGTTGGCACTTAGTCGTTTTTTCGCGAATTTTTTTAAACTTCATTTTTGATTGTTTTAAGATATAATTGACTGTTTTCTTTACTTTTTTCTTCATTCCACGGATGGGGGCGTATGGCAGGCCGCCTATGAGCTCACAAATTCGGCCTGGAACCTCCGGGAATTGTGGGCTTAGCTCCATAAACTGACAAAGTCACCCAGAAATGTCACTTTTATAGCCCAAAAATATACAAGACAAATACATTTAAATAGTAAAAGGTACAATTGAGCTCCGAATTACCCAGAATTTGATTTATATAGCCCCATGATAGTGAATAAAAATCATTTTCATGGAAAAAAGTGTTAAAACGCCTGATTAATATGTTCGTAATGCTGGCAGCAGGTTCACTGCTGTTAGCAGGGTCTCACACTCACAGGCACCTATGCAGAGATCCAGGGTGATGCACAGGGCTTTTCTACCCAGCAATGAGTCTTTGAAAGCTGGGGAAAAGTGCTGTGAATACAGAGAGAGCACCCAGAGAGAAGCGGGGTGTGAGACTCACACACAGATACACAGAGAGCTCCTTGCAGCACATGGCTCTCCCACCCAGACTGCACCCAGAGGACAGGCTGCTTCACAGCACTTTGTAACCCAGGAAAGCAGCTTGAATCGTGGGTAGATGAGTGTTAAAAGTGCATTAAACTGTTTTAATTCAAATGCACATTTGATTGCATAAACAGCCAGTCATATGGACAGG